AAGTGCTATGCAGAAGTCTAGGAGTGTCTGCTACAATGAAATTAGTTTTAAGCAGAAACCAGGAGACATCATTGAACCTTTCATCCTTAATTCAAACTTCCAATGATATTCTCTTAGAACTGCTGTCTTACAAAGCAAATATCAGTGTTACGTTAAAATAAAAACAACATACAAACCATACCTTTATTTTAGCTTTTTGTTGAGTCTCTATGGCCAGTTTTCTCAAGCCCTCCATTTCTTTTTGCAATTGTTCATTCTCTTGCTGAAGTTTCAGCCTTTGTTCACTGACAAAGGCACTTTTTTCTCTTTCTGAATCCAGAATGCTTTGCAATTTACAGATAGCTTCCTGGCAACGAGATTTCTCTTCCTCAGAGCTGAAAGAGAAAAGTCTTGTTGGAACTCAAGAGTTGAACAACTACTGTACCAGTGGAAAAAAATATACACTGGGCCATATCTTTGGTCTAACCCAGTATAGCTGTTCCCCTGCTTCTTCCTGAAAGTTTTTATCAGCTCAGCATTTTGACTGCGTTTGACAGCTAGAACTATGCACAAGTCAGCAAAGAATTTTATCAAGATGATGAACTCAAAACCAATCTAACATTGTAGCAATCTCAGTAAAATGACAACGTGAAACAAAAAGTTTTATAGCATTTCCAGATGCCCAACTGAGGATTGCTCTGGTGAAGTGACAGGATTTACCATCATCAGAGTACAGACATGACTGAAGCTAGAGAATCCTACACTTCTCGTGCTGAAAACAACCTGGTCTGAAAGCGTGTACCAGATTGTGCTTTTTGCCACTGTATGACTGGAACTGCAATGATGTCTGTTAGCTCTGAACACAGACCTGAAATTCAGTCTGCTACGTAAACACAGCGTTCTGCACGGACTAGGAGACACCGCCCTGAAGATGAATTTATGAAGTAATAAATTCTGCTGGAATATTTCAGAGTAACTTTTCCTACAAACAGTATTTAAAAATGCAAAGATTCCAAATAATATACTATTTTCATTTTTTTTTGTCAAAAAACTGCTTGCAGTTCTCATGTTTTAAAGAAAATCTTTCATTCTATAGCATGTTACCCCCTTTAATTCTTTTACAGTGATAATTGCCCTTGCTTCAGAATTAATGTTATCTTGATACTATTTCTGCTACTGGTTAAAAAGAAGTGACAAAATCCTAACACATAATCAACAATTTAAATAGTCAGAGATAATTTCCACTGTTTTCCATTCGAATTCCTGTAGCATCCATTACTTACTTCATTTCCAGTTGTTTCAGTTTATTTTGAGTTGTCTGTAGGCTTAGCTGAAGGTCACCTTTTGTCGTTTCTGCAAGTAAATATTTCTGATGCAGTTGCTCTAGTTTTCTATTGTCAGATTCATGTCCTCTGTCTTCCCTGTAAATCTGAAGAATAAACTTACATCTGAGATCATCTTTACCTTGCACTGGTGATTGGCAGTGCAGTACCGACAAGGAGACTACTTACTCCTCATTACATCCTATTTGCCAGTGATTTAAAACACAACTGAATTTTTATCATTGTTGCCGCTACTTGGGAAAAGTTTTCAAAGATCTGGCATTCATCTATGAGCTTAATTTTAACTGGAATATGTACCAACATTCTTTCAGATTATATCAAGCATCTCTCGTTTTACTTTTTACACTTTTCAAAGAACCCTCTTTTTCAGTTTAGTATTACAGCTTTAAAACGCTTTCTGGATTAAAAGACACTCAACCTTAAAAGAATTACCTGAAAATTTACAATTAAGGAAATCTACTCAAGAAATCAAATAAGAAAATTAAGGGAAAAATCAATCGATCAGAAATGGGAAAAATCAATCTAATTTTTCCTTCTGAAAAGAATCTTAAACATGATGTAAAAATGCATGCAATTGCCTTACCTTTTCAAGTTCTTCTTCCACTGCTCTCTTTTCTCTAATGGCTCGTTCAATTCGACCCTGTTTTTCTCCACATTCCTATTTTAAAAAGTAATTAAAAAATAAATCTAACGAAAAATAACTCAAAATAAAAATTCAATAAGTGCCAAAGCCAAGAAACCGTCATTGTAAATGTCATTCTTGCTGCTGGTATGTATGCATTTGATTATATTTACCCGCTTATCATTTTCTCTATAGAATCAGTCTCATTCAATATACAAAGATACTTAGAATTAAACCTTTTCTTAATAAATTTAATCCATAACTAGGTGTATATGCACTGAGCTCTTTTGGTCTCCCATATAACTTGTTACAAGTTCCTGCTTCATTCAAGAATATGATGATTTTGATGCACAGGCTTCTCTTAGCATACTTTATCAACTTTCATATACTTCATTTCTATATACACCACTATAGATATGCAATACTCAGCTTTCCATGCTTTATTTATCCCTGAAAGAAACAGGGATACTTAAGAAATGCTATCACATGGGAAATATTTTCTGGAGCACAGAATCTCACCACCAAGATGCTTGTGAACTATGATAAGAAAATATATAACTTACACCATTAAGGAAGAAACTTACACAAAGAAATGGGTGGATTTGCAGAACTGTATTAATTCATGCAGAGCGAGGCAAGTTGTCAGTAAGATACAACTGTATACACATAAGGCAAAACTGTACAATAAAAAGGAATTTTAAAAGCCAATATCCTTTACACCCAAATCTGAAACTCTGCACTGACTGTTAATACACTGCACACAGTCGCTTTTGTCAAGTAACATGGAAGACGTTGTGTGTGTTGCATTAATGTCTGGAGACATGCAGGATGTAAAGTGCTGTACAGTAAAAAAGCATAGTCCTAGACGATTACCTGTTCATCAACTTTTAGCTGACTTACTTCTACCCGAATTTAGTATTTTACTTGATCAACAAACACCAGAAACCTCAAATGTTCTGCTATCAAAAATACTTTCATCAGTCAATGCCATACCATCTGAAGAGCTGAAAGTTCTTCTGTTAGTCGAGAAATCTGCACATTATACTGCTTCTTTGCAGAGTCTACCTGGGATAAAAAACAGAGTAAAACTAAAAAATTAATCCCATGAACTATGTTTCCATCCTGGTTTTATATATATAATATATATGTATATATAGTCTAATGTGGTGCATGTATATAAGTATGAAAATATCTGGGACTGCAATAACTGACAAATCTTACTACATAAATGTTAGAAGAATGTTTATTATCAATCAAATGAGGGTGTTTTGAAAAAAAAGCAGAAAAGAAGACATCACGTTACAAAAAGAACAGTAAGACTATCAGGAAAGCTGCAAGATATTTGCAATATGCCTAACAGGTGTTTTTAGATCACATAACAAAAGTATTTGTTAATAACTGGAGAAACATGACAACTTGCAGTTCAAAATTTTACGTTTTATTATTTTGATAGATTCACTTTTACTGAGGTAATTTCAAGTTAAGCAATAGGGCATTTTTAAACTTCTAAATTCTGATTAGTAAATCATTCCCACAACTACGGTGGTTATCCTGGTTGCTCTTTAGCTCTTGCACCTTTTCCAAACCATGTATGATGTTAAATACTGCAGTTTTAAGTAATCCACACAATTTTTGTGATTCTTTCAGGTAATCACCAAAAAGAAGGCACAAACAGTCTTTATCTGCATCTTAAAGGCTCTGAAAACTTAGGCAGTATGTTCCTGAAGCCTCTCCAACTGAAAGCATTGGAAAGAACAAGAATCCTTTCATCCCTATAGAGTATATGCACATGGTGTCATACTGAAGAAAGTGAAAGGAGGCAAAATCAATTACACCACTGAAAACTTACAAATGAGGTAATTGCTTTACACTGTTGTGCACTTGCAACACAAGACATTGCCTGTAACAAGCCTTTATTTCCTCTGGAGTTTGCCCTGAAGTAAAGCCAGTCTCTTTGACATGCAGATAATTACTGAGAACCTCCAGGTAGGTTAGTCTGCATTTGAACAGCAGACAGGACACAACACAGAAAATTAATGCTGCAACTAGTCTTTTTATCAGAAGAGCTGCAATTTTTCAGCTGCTCATAACAATAACAAAAATCATAGACAGACTACAACATTTTTTTTCAGGAATTTCTCTACCAAATTCTAGTTTCTAAGTGTGCTGTGATATTGAGCCTTTTGATAGTTAGCTGTACTTGGAAGAGGAGTCTATTTGCCTAAATCACAGCATGGCATAGGCTGGAAGGGACCTCAGAGATCACCTAATTCAATGTCCCTGCCATGGGCAGGGACGCCTCTCAACTAGACCAGGCTACTCAAGGCTCCGTCCAACCTGGCCTTGAACACCTCCAGGGAGGGGGCATCCACAACTTCTCTGGGCAATTTATTCCAAAGTCTTACTACCCTTAAATAGGGGAGTATTTTTAAGTACCACTCCCTTAAATAAGGGAGTATTTTTAAGTACCGAGATGCCAAAAACGGCAATTTATTCCAAAGTCTTACCACCCTTAAATAAGGGAGTATTTTTAAGTACCAAGATGCCAAAAAACTGACACTAGAACTTTCAAGAGGTCCCCTCATCTGAACGTACAAGATAAGCTTCCATCAACTTCCAAGACAAGGCCATGTATCACAACTTAAATACCTTGATACCAATACAGCACTCAGTCTGTTGACATGCTACTGAACAGAATCTCCAAAATCAAAGTGCCATTCTTTGCATCTTCACAGTGCAGCCTTCTCTATACCAGTGTCTGCACAGGCATCAACACTTCTGGTTCTTGAGAGATTTAAGGATATCATTTAGTTTGGAAGAATATATGTCTAGATAAGAAAGCTGAAGCATACAGCAGCTGCCTTGCTACCTATGTTATCAAAACATTTCTAAGAAAACTGCTTATGATAACCACGCACCATCAATAGCCTTTCATGCTGAGGAAAACAAAAAGATCTTCCCGTTCTTTCTAAATATCATAACTTACTGCCTTTCTAATTCTTGCAGCAGTATCTTCTGCAAATTGAGACATTTCTTCTTTCATTTTTTGGATTTCCTCTTCCTTTTGCTTCTCCCCAAAGAGTGCCTAGGGAAAAAAACAACAACCCAACTTGTAATACTACTGATAGTATTTCAGTGGTGACATAGTATCTAGCACTGAGAGCAGAAACCACACAGTCACTGTTCAAAAAACCTTTTTTCCTTTTTACTTTGGACTAGCTGACACCGAGACCCAACAGGAAGACAAGAAGAGCGAGAACATTTTGCCCTAAATGCACATTCTTGTAAATCAGAACCACACAGAAGTTAGTGTTGGTGGATGCCTTTTTCTATTCGGACTTATTCTTGGGACTTTCAGATTTTGGCTGGGCACAGAATTATAAAGAGGAAAGCACAGGAACTCAGACCAAAAGGCTAGGCTGCTCCCCAATGTTCTCCTCTGGGGCCAGGATCTGTAATAAAACACGTTGACAATGACACAGAAATTTCTCTGTTAGGAAACAAAATACCTGTATATACACACAGACGGGCTCGTACATATAGCTAAGCAATTTTTATGGCTGATAGACTAAATTACTCATCTCCCAGGAAACTAAGAGTAAAGGAATAAAAATTACAAGCAACTAAGGAATGTGTATGCAGTACCTTTCATGGTGGGTAACAACGAATCAAACAGCTCTTTGCCTGAAAGAATGGCAAGAATTACAGACAAAGGTGTAGCAAGGAATCGTTCCTTTGGAGGATGCAAGAAAGCTACTGATGTTAAAGTATAATAGGAGATGCTGGTCTGAAAAGATGACAGAATGTAGAATTCTTGATGGGTGAGACGAAAAGTTGTAGGTGGCACATGGAGAAAATGTAGGTGCATAAAGGGAGAAAGACATAAAAACGTCCCTAATAGGTGATATAAATTCAGCCTATAGGAGTTACTCGCTTCAGGCAGTAACACGCCACTTCACTGGTCATACTTCCTGTTATTGCTCCCATTCAATTCAACTTTGTGTTTTATTTCTCAAACTACTCTTAAAATCCTTCTGATGTCTTTCTGTAAGCTTATCTTGGTGTGCTTTACAATGTTAACAGAAGAGGAGCAGCACTATTGTGACAGCCTGTTACTTCCACCTCTCAGTCTCTTACAGAGACGGGAGAAACCCCTGTGGCCACAGTTTACGACACAGAGAGTTAACTGATGTGTATATTATGCTGCATTTTTTTATCCTGTTCATTAATAAACTTCTCAGTTCGAAAAATTCAGGATGTTTTAGCCAGAGCAGTAAATTAACAAGTGTCTGCAAATTCCAGTTTATTCTTATGACCGCATTAATCTAAACTATTACTTATAACAAGCCACTTACTTATCTGTAACTGTTCAGTTACTGTCTTAGAGACACAATTTACATTACGATCATGTTTACTGGGCTGCTTCCTTCTGTCAATTTCATGTGAGTTCATAGCAGGTGGCATCAAATGATCTACTTTTGCATGACAAATGGTGTTCTAACACTGCTCTGATGTATTAATACTTCGCAGACTGGAAATGTGATTTATACTCCTTACCAGTAATTTTCAAATGAAAAAGCGTTTTCTGGTTTTTAAACTCTGCAAAAAAAAAGATTTTAGTTTTACCTTTCATTCTTTGTATTCTCTCCACTATTGGGCTGTAGGGGAATGCTGTTAAGGATCAAAATATCTTACTACGAAAAAGGAACTGAAAAGTCCAAAGGCGGCCATCAAGAGCTGGAGGATGAAAAACTTCATTTTTCACCCCTTTCTGAACCAGAGCCTAACAGGTAAAGGGAATTGCAGAAGATCAGTTCAAAAAACAAATGAGATGCAGAAAGTTATGAGGAAATTATGAAAGGGAAAAGATGCCACCAAAGGGTTTCTTAAATGACTATAAATACATAGGAAGAAAGACTATAACAAAATGATAATCCTTTTTTGTATAACAAGAACAATCACAAAAGTTTAACTGCAGTAATGACTAGAAACTTAAGCTTTGTCAATCTTTTATTCTATTCTAGAAGCAGGCCAGAAGGTAGCAGGATCTCTTTAAAGATGTTAGTTCCCTTTTCTGTCAGAAAAAAGGAGGCAGGTCTGCCTCCTTTGTCAGAGAACCAAGAGGAACACTAACTTTAAGATTCCAAACATTAAAAGTAAAAAGTTAGTTTAGATACTCAGGAGGCTCCTAAAGTTTGAAAAGCAACTTCAGACTAAAAAAGGGTGCATTTATCTCCTTAACTACTCAACGGTTCAACATGTTAGCCCAAACAGAATAAATTCTCAGAGTCTCCATTTATTCCCACAGACATTAACTAAACTGGGTTTCACTTACTGATGGCCACAGTCATCAGATGTGCATAAAGGTTCTGTCTTGCCAGCAAACACAATTCATTAGATTTCTAAAAGTCTGACTCAAACTGAAGTTTAGCATTAAAACACCAAGAGCCCATCTTAGACAAAAGTTTACCATGCCCTGTATCCTATCTCCTAAAGGGGCAAACAGCAGATACTTCAGGAAAGTTAAGAACTGGATAAACAGAGTGACTCTATTTTTTGATCAATAGACATGTCAGGACTTACTGGATTAGATTCTTGCTGTTCTTTAGGAAGGTTTGGGAGATTGTTCTCTCGTGAACTTTACTGTTTTCATATCTACACTTTTGTCATACACATCATCCTATGACAGTTTAATCACATATAAAAATTTGTTTTAAGGCCTCCCCACATATTGACTCCTCCTGCAGTTTCCTAATTCTCCCGTGTCTTGCCTGAAATGGGCTGATCAAAACTGCTCATGAAGGTGCACTATGTTTAAAGGTATCTTTATTTTTAACTCTTATTCTAAACATTCTATTCATTGTATTGAGTACCACTGAGGGTTGCGTGAATGTATCCTTAAGACACATGCATACTATTTCCTGAACTGGTTTTTGATTTGTAAGACTAAATTCAGCACCTAGTATGGCACATTTGAATTCCTTCTGCTATAATACATTAATAAACACCTTTGCCGTTTTTTCCTGACTGCTGCAGGAGTAATGAGTCACCCACTCATTACTCAGCCACTTTTCCAGATTTCTCTGACTAATTAAGATCTGAACATAGAACTCACTCTCTTGGTGACCTATGTCCATCGTATAACAAAAAAGTCCCTTTAGTTTTAGCTCTTCTTTCCTAACCATTAATAAGTTATAAATTCATAACAAGACCTTCTTTTTTATTCTGACACCCCAATTTGTTTGTAAGTATTTGACAAGAAATTCTGTCAAACATTTTTTAAAATTCAAGTTCAGGTACAGTATTATCACTTAGATCACCTTTATCCAGGCACTCAACATGTTCTTTGAAATTTATACTGTATGACAAGTCTAAGCAATGTATTGTCGTATCACAGTTTGCTGTCTTGTGCATTACTAATTTTAGTACAACAGACATAAAAGAAGCTTGGTTGTGTATACATAATCGGGCACTTCACACTCTAAGTGATGAAAATATTCTGAAATCTAAGAAATATCTTCCTCCATTGCCTTACCTGACTCTTTTGTAGGTTAGCTTCTTCTAAGAGCTGTATGCAATCTTGGACTTTTGCAACAGCATCATACTTCTCCCTTTCTAGATTAGCATACTTTGTCTGAAGCTCCCTGATTTGTTTCTCCAGGGCTGTCCTTTCTGTTCTCAGCTGTTCAGCTTCTTGGACAGTAACCTGTAATCTACAAGACATGAATAATTTTACACATTTAACAATAAGATGCTTAATTAAGACACTAATTAAACTACTAGGAAA